GGTGACGGAAAAAGAGGGTGAAAATTCACCATAGGATCTAACCTTCCCCGAGGTCTGGTGATAGAGCACTTTTAGGAGTGAGACATACTTCTCGGGTACTTTGTATCTCCGCAAACAGTTCCATAGTGCGGGGCGATCGATAAAGTCGAAAGCCGCTCTGATGTCTAAAAACACGACACTGGCTTGTCGTATGTATATGTGGCGGTGTTCTAGTAGCTGATGGAGGGTGAAGATTTGATCTATGCATCCACGGTGTGCACGAAACCCGGCCTGCTCCTTGCGGATTTGCTTCTCACGGAATGGACATAACCTGCGTAATAAAACGGACGCTAGCAGCTTCGGTGCTATTGGAATCAGATTTATGCCCCTGTGGTTGGAACAGACCTTCTTGTAGATGGGTGTGACAATCGATTCTCCCCATATGTGGGGTACACTTCAGTTTCCCAGATATTTGAGAACAGTCTCACAAGTTGGCTTACGAGAGCATCTCCACCATCTTTAAAGAGATCAGGTGGCAGGCCGTCTGATCCAGCTACCTTATGGCGTTCCAGGGCTTAGAGTTCCTTTCGGATCTCCGCTTCTGTGGGCGGTCCCGTGGGTAATATCCAGGGTGCACTTTCAGGAGAGCTGCTTGGGGCAGCCAGCGCGGGGGCTGGTTGAACTGCGATGTGAAGTGCTCCGCCCAGCGTTCCAATCGTCGGTGAAGGCTGTTTATTAACGTGCCGTCTACTTCACAGATTGTTTCACTAACGCACTGTCTTTTGGGGCCTGTGGCACGGATGAGCTGGAATAATTGCCGGGTGTTTCCACACCTAGCCACTGATTCCATCTCCTTTGCACGAAGCGTCCACCAGGCCTCTCTGTCGTCTCCCAAACTCTTTGTGATTTCACGCTTCAAGGAGAGGCGCTGTTCACTGTACTCGTGGTCTGCCAGGATTGTCCGACGCGCGTCGAGGAGTCTGAGAGAGTTGGAGGAGACCCAGTGATTTACAACTGGGCGGGTTAGGCCACAACTGTGTAAACCGGCTGAGTGCATTGTGTTTCGGATGGTTGTCCAGTGTTGATCTACGCTACTTGGTGGGGTAGCAGTTAGCTTTGCGGCCAACTCGTTTTGATAATCTGTTAGTATGGCCGGGTCAGAGCTTGGCGACGTCGAGCTGTTTGCATCTTTTTACAGCCACCAAATAGCATAGTCAACTTGGCACAAACCAGTGCGTAGTCGGAGTCCAAGCAAGTAGACCAATACGAACGGCAATCTTTCGCACACCCTCTCCATCTATATCTAATAGCTATATGGTCAATCTGACTCCACGTCTGTGCCGAAGAGGGGTTACGCCAGGTGGCGAGGTGACGCTTAGTGTCTGAATTTCGTGCTAACGAGGAACAGACCGTATTCTGAGCATATGCTAAGAAGTCTATCCCCATTATCGGAACGATAGCTATCAAGGCCATGACGGCCGCCCAGGTGGGTCTCATCGGGTAACAGGCGACCAACGCGTGCATTTGGGTCTCCGGCCAGGATCACGATATCCGTCTTAGGTGCTTTGAGAAGAAGCTCATGTAGGCTGTGATAGAAGGCGTCCTTGACTGTATCCGGGCTACAGTCTGTGGGAGCG